GCGCAACCATTGATGTACGTGAGATGAAGATGATGATTAGACCTAGTGACCAGGGGCATCGCCAAAAAATACGAGCTGTACACCAACGAAGACCCGAAGAAAGTCACTGTCATCAGTGTTGGCAGGGCATAAAAGTCCCGAATTTTGTAGCAAAAATTGCACAGCTCTACATCAACTCTTCGAATAGTCGTGATTTGACCAGAATCATCCACGGGTGTCTTCCTGATGAACACCGACGGCATTTCAAGGTCTACCGGTATCTTTCCGATCTTCAGCAATGATTTGTTGACATTTGCAATCCTCTCGTCAACCAGATGCAGTACCAAGGAATATTGCACTATTGTCCAGCTGATGATGATTGAAGGACAGACGAATATTATCAGAGTCAGGATAGATGTGTGCTGGGTTGACACTTCAGCTGCCAGTAAGTAAATGCTGATGGATAAATGCATCAGTGACTTGAAGATTATGGACTTTGGGAATTTCTGGTGGAGACCGGTGCACTTGAACATGATTTCATCGATATCAAGCAATTTATTTGCCAGTGAAACAATTCTCTTTTGTCGGACTATGTACAGGAACCATATAAAAATACCCAAAAGGAATGCAGTCACCGTGAGAAATTTCCCAATTATTCTTGGCAGTTTAACTACAAAAGCTGATACTTCCCTCTTCGTGTTATTAGACATGAGGAAATCGGTGAAAATAATACAGCCGATTAACGCACAGTTGTAGATGCTTCCGAAATTCGATGTTGTGAAGACTTTTTCGTTGTTGCATCGGGATTTATGTACCAACTGGGGGATATTTATCCAGAATGGCGCCAGTCCCATTATTTTGAAGAATAGAAGAGCGCAGAATAGCGCGTATAATTTTTTCCTCGAGTGCTGACCGATTTTAATCATATTGCCACCGGAAAATGTCAATAAATACTGAAATCGTGGGGTTTCATGCAACGGAGTTGAAAGGGTCTCATTATATAAAAGCATGCGTGCAAAACGTAC